TTTATGTTAGACGACTCCATGTTATACATGCCAGAGGAATGATATTTTAACAAGATTTTTTTCTACAACTTAATAATATTGAGTATATTTTCATAAATTCTTTAGGAAGCCAATATAGTTAATCTATATCTTTCTTTAAAAAAAATTCAATTGTAGAAAATAATTTCTTTAGTCAAAATTTTGACCAGTAACAGCAAAAATGATAGTTTGTATAGAATTACCCTTATAGCATATACCTTAAATATTTCTTTTAGAAAACGTCGAAATTTTAATTTTCTTATTTATTATTTATTTAACAAAGATTTAATATAAATATAAAGTATTTCTTATTGCCATGACAATATGATAACAACTATTACTTTGTTGGATGAACATTTCGTTTATAAAAGCTCAACATTGCTGCTTTATTATAGTAAATGATAATTTTATTAACAGTAAAACAAGTTTATTCTGTAAATAAAAATAATCTCATTACTTTGACAAATCGTAGGTTTTTGTTCCAATAAGATACTGAAAATTTAATAAAAAAAGGTACCTTTTTTAAGACAATTAATACTTAATACTTCTTGACATTTGGTCAAAGTAACACTTATTTCTTTGTTGTTGAAATTTGTTGTGTTTTTTCAAGCATCTGTCATGTAAAAAAGCACCTATGAATTATAATTTTAAACAATTAAAAATTAATAGAAATCCGCAATGAATCAAGTGAAAAGACGACTCACTCATATAATTTACGACCACAGACGAATAATTGGAATATTTGAAATTGAAAATATCCCCGGCAAAATTATTCGTGAAGAGGAAACACGGTTGACTAATGGTAGTGTTGACCTTGCCGGCGGTTTTTGAAGTGTAAATTCGGTTAGGTGTAACAACTCAGACGAGCAGCAGAGAGGGACTTTTGAGCCATCGAAACTTGTAATTTATTCTCGCAATAAAAATGCGCGCGCGAAATATACACGGCTATTTGTAGCAGACCTCTAATAGCTTACATTAACAATAAATTAATGTTTAAGTAGCTATGTGCTGCCTGTGTGGTCCATCTTACATGGCCATGGCGTGAACTTTTATCTATAGATTATATATAAGCTTTTACGTTTAATAAGCCACAAGTTGATTGGGAATTTCTTTAATGATATCCGATATCTACCTCTACCTTTTATACGTGTACTAAAAGAAACATACCTACACGGGAATGTTTAGTTACTTTGCTGGTACCAACCAATGTAATGGAGTAGTTAAATTTTTTCTGACCTATACTTTTTATGGTTTTATTCAAGGCGTTTTGTAATTTTAAACATTTCTGTGAAATCGGAATTTCAATTGAGTTTACCGTTTTCGAGATATTTACAAAAAAAAATCTCCTAATTACGTCACTAGGCTATTGACAACGTTGCCAGCTTTTTCTATGGTTGCCAGTGTGTTTAGTTTAAGATTCTTACGATAGATGGCGCCACGTTATAATATTTTAGTTTTAAAACCACTTGATCTATAATTTTAGTTGAGAAGAAGAAGAAGAATTGATTTTTGACGTTTCTTTTTTTCGGGTTATGTTTTTTTTAAATTTAGATTATTGAAAATCAATGTTATTGTTATGTTATTTGTAATTGATATTAGATAAGTGATTTATTAATAACGGACTCCAAAGCAGAGGAATCTTGTGGAATGGTTGGTTACATTGAACATTGGAGCTTTTAAACAAATAAAGTAAGTACCTATAATTATAATCATATTTTGTCGTAAATGCATTTCATTAGTATAATGCCTAGTTCTTTATATTCTTTTAGATATTTCTTGGACTCTAAAATATCAAACAGTAATATGATACCTCGTAATAAGGAATTTGGTGACCATCTTTTACTCAACTGACAGTATTTGTACATAACCTCTTCGGGTATTTTCTGACATAACCGAATGAAATCATTAACAAGACAACTTGACAACAGGGTAATTTTCAACCAATAGAAATATTAGAATGTTGGTGACATGGCGAGGTTTGTGACGTCATAAATATTTATATTTTTTGTAAATATCTCGAAAACGGTAAACTCAATTGAAATTCTGATTTCACAGAAATGTTTAATATTACAAAACGCCTTGAATAAAACCATAAAAAGTATAGGTCAGAAAAAATTTAACTACCCCATTGAATAATGCCAGATGTTCGAAAATGCCTTTTTTATTATTTTTTTAGTTTTTATTAATCATGGCAGCATTATTTTTGCACTAAATGTATATTAACATTATTTCCGGACACCCTGTACATTGAGAAACTCTTTAGAATGTTGATAAAGCCAGTACTTTTCATTCCTTCATTAATTAAATCAGATTGAGTTATGAAGGAGTTTAACGAAATCATGTTACATAAATAATGGAAATTAATAAAACATGTTGGGTAACATGAAAATAAGTATGGCTGTTTTTCAACAAAATCAATAGCAAGCAGGCAACTATTAATTTTAAATTAATTGACATATCCAAGTTTATCGAACTGAATTTGTCTTTTCGTTATTATTATATTGCCGCAGCGCAATTCCTTTAGTTATATACAATTAATTTCAGTACATCTGACGTCTTTTAAAAATTATCATTAAAAATTGTTTTTTAATAAATCGGTAGACAATGGACGAGTCTTGAATTATGATGGTTCAAAATAAATATGTTAATGCATTTAATGTTATGTAAATTTGCAGTAGGGCAGGGCGATGGTAATTAAAAATATGTATTAATAATAGGAATTTTCAGTAATTACTGTGAAGCCGTAAAACTTAGCACTTAGACGCAGTGACTCGACTTAACTATTAAATTTTTAAATTGCTGTAAATTACACACCACAACCAAACACTCATTACGAATTACTACAGGGTGGCGCAACTCTATCTTATTTTATATCCAAAGGTTAAGTGTTCTTCTTTCATTTAGAAAAAAATACTTCAATTGATATTAATTCTAGAAAGAGCTATCTTTCAAAATTAGGTTTTGGCCTTTGCAAACGCCAATGGTCAAGCAGTTCTATAATAGTCCATGAACTAACTAAAAAAAAACATTTTTTGGCCAACAATCTCGAACGAATTCTATCGTTCTTATAATAATAATAATAGGTCTTAAAGGAACATAAAAATCGCTTATACAGTGTAGTTTAAGAAAAATACTGTGCAAAATTAGTGCAAAGATATACTACCTGTACCTGAAATATTAAATTAGTGTATTAAAAAGCATTCCTAAACAAGTGGATATAGTAAATAAAGACCAAACGGACACGGAAGTAATTAAGTGATAATTGACATCATACCTGGAAATCTAACCTCAGGCCAATATCAATCACCTTATGTAAGAACAAAGAGTGGAAGGGGACATCATCTGCAAAAATCTGATAAGTACTAATTAGTCGCATGATTTAACACGCAAATTCACCACAAAAACCTTACAATAATCAATCATTATTTCTGAAAACAGTGATGTAAACCAATCATTAGGTAAGAACGTCTCAAAACATAAATAAGCATAAACTTAATAGGACAGCCCCATCAAAATTAAAGAGTTTAAAACTTAACGATCATAATAAACTAAACACCTCTAAATTTTAGGCATCGAACAAAAGTAAAAATAAAAACAAAAACAAAGTTTAAAGCAATTATATAGAATAAATAATATAAATGCAACTTCTAATTGTTAGAAAAGAAAACGTACATACAATTCCATCACAAAATGAAGAAAACTGTCTATCGATAGTTCTCGACCTCTACAAGGCTTTCGTACAGTGGGGCAAACAATTGACGCGTTTCTCGGAAAAACATCATTAGTCCAAAATTAACATATTTGGGAAAATGAAAAAACTCTCCAACATTCCCATTTTTGACCAAAGTACTTTATTGACCTATTTACTACATGTAAAAAAATGTAAGATACTTTGTCCAGAATTCCTCATGTTTTTTTTTCAAACAAATATGAAAAAAACACAAAAAATACATGAACATGTGAGGTTTTTAGAAGAAAAAACGAACAATTCTCCTTACTACAAACACTACAAACTAAATATTAACTCTGAGCAACAAAATAAATGAAAAAACTAAAAACTGTATTATGGCCACACTCAGTATTCGCATCCACTGCTGTTAGACAACGATGATATCATCGTTGTCGACCGTGTTATCAGGACTGTCAGGTGCTATGGTCTTCTGGTCTTTTATCAAGTTATCATAAAATTTTCTATTGCTGTGGTCATGTAAAAGAGGTAGAAGCTTTTCTAGAGTGTCCAAAAACGTCACATGTTATGCACATGTGACTTTCTTAGACGAAACGGAGTGCACTTGTGATGTTTTTAGAAGAACAAGCTAAATTTCATATTTAATTATTATGGAACCTATGACATTTTTACGAGAAACACTTATTTGTATACGTACTGTATATATGGAGGTTAGGAAACAGTTGGTGCTAATATCTAAATTTCAAAGATATTGGACTAATGATGTTTTTCCGAGAAACGCCTCAATTGCTCACAACAGTTTCTGAATTTTAGCAGACTACAAGACCAGCAAGGATAGGTCCTAGCAGCGTACTAACCAACCAAACCTTATTCATGATCCCCAAATAAATGGGAGCATTACTTAATCCCTGGATGAGGGGGATTCCGGATTGTACTTAGTTTTGGGTCAGTCCAATGTCACCCAAAAACCAAAACACTAGTCTAAATCGGGCGTATGGCCCAGCCCGGCGACCATCGACACTGTCATCCACGATCTCCTAGGTGAGATTTACCAACCGGGGTGAAAATTCGTATCCACCAAACACAGGTAATACTGTGCAGTGGTGGGATACGTAGGAGAACTGAAAGGGGGTGAGAAATAACCCTGGGAGATCAGTGTAAAGCGTTGCCGATGGGGCCTGCCATACGTTCTTTATACTCATACTCATCAAAAATTTATTCAATATAGACTTCATTGGGTTCAATCGACTACTAAGTCTACTATATACTGACACCTAAACGAAGTGGCACCTACCTTTATTTTTGTTCAGACTGATGTTGCTTGGAAAGGCGGTGATCTTCTTCCAGGCCTTCTTGCCCCAGAAGCTCTTGTTGGGCGTGCCGCAGTCTGCGGGAGTGGAGCACCTCGGGCCGTAGGACGAGGAACTTTTGGGCCTCTCAGGGCCTCTGCGAAGGCTTCCGGCCGCACTGCGGTAACTCGCGCCACTAGAACTGCCACTGAATCCACTGTCCAAATCCACAATGGGCACCGGAGACAAAAGTTCGTCGGTCGGGCCGACTGTCAGCAGGTCCGCCAGCGTGTCTTCGACCTCGTTGTCGCGGTCCTCCTCGCTGCCCTCCCGCGAGCTCGAAGGCATCAGCATGGCCTCCACTGAGAGGTTCAACTCGCCCAACACGCGTCGGTGGCCGCTTTGCACCCTACGGACCTCCTCCTCGACTAAGCTTTGGTTCAGGGACATCAGGGACTCCTGGTGGTGCAATCTAGCTCGAGCTATATCGCTTATTTCTTCGTATATGTTCTCCTCGGTGCCGTACCTCGTCAGGTAGGTGTGCCTGCTCCTGTACGAGCCCCCTCGGTAGGTACTGGGCACATTCATGTGCTTCGTGGGGGGTCCGGGTTCGTAGTAAGCGTAGGAGTAGTCGTTGGGGACAGGCACCTCCCAGTGGTCTTGTCTCGACGTCGAAGGCCCCGCCACGCTGAAATCCTCCATCTTAGACGTGGAAGGCGGGTATTTGGGAGGCGGCGGAAACTGCAAGTAGGCTCTGCGCACTTGGGGCGGCGTTTGGGGAACGTACCTTCGCACAAACGTGGCAGACAGGTGCTCGGGGTGCAAAGTCAGAGCGTGTTGCGGCGAGTGGTCCTGCGGAGAGGAGATGTGGTGGTGGGAGGACGAATGATGGGCACGATCCATACTGTTGCATTGCTGTGGATGGTTGTAATGTGGTCGGTGCCACATTTACCTGCAACAATAAGAAGAAAAAAACATCAATATCCCGTATATTTTTTTGTTTAAAAGAAGGTTTCCCCAATGAGTTCAACGTTATGTGAACGTTGTGTCGTTAGCATTAAGGAAATATCCTTATCAATAAGAAATTGTTATCCTTAAGCCTAATTTATAGATTGCCTTCCTTCCCTCCTTCCTTCCTCCCGTAGAAGATGAACAATACAAAAACCGTACGGGAAACTTTAGATTTTCGCACAATCCATACAACAAGGTCTGTTCTATCTCATGCTAAAAATACTAAAAATCACTGCAACACTGCACAGAGTTTAACGGCGGACATTTTTGTTGTTTACAATTCTTGTGCTTCGGATTTGTGCTGTTTAATAATTGTTTTAAACGTTGTGTTTCTTACAGAGGCACTTGTAAGCCTCAAATAAGGCCTTTAGGTGCCAAGGACAACCATTTTACTCCTCTTTTATAATAAATATACCTTATTCTATCAGGGCTGTCAAATGACAATTTGAAGGTTAATTTGTGGGTTATAATTTAACCTTAAAATTGACATTGGACAGTTTTATGACAGCCCTGATAGAATAAAGTTTATTGTTTACAATAGAGGAGTAAAATGGTTGTTCTTAGCACTTTAAGGACTCTTTTAAGGCTTACTATGAGAAACAAAACGTTTAAAACGATTAATAATCTGTATAAACAGAGCACAAACCCAAAGCACAAAAATTGTAAACAACAAAAATGGCCGCCGTTAAACTGTGCAGTGTTGCAGTGATTTTTTGTATATTTAGTACGAGATAGAACAGACCTTGTTGTGTGGATTGTGGATTTTCGTATTGTTCATCTTTTAAAGGAGGAAGGCAATCTATAAATCAGGCTTTAGCCGTTAATTCGTAGGCGATTTTTAATTTTTAAAAATCAGTGGTTTACCCCTCGATAAAAATGTTACAAAATTTAAAAAAATACGACTTGCAGTTTTGCAAAATTTACGCGATGTTTTCAAATTTACAAACTGCTGGGTTTCCAAATTTACGAAAAATGCGACGTTGTCAGATTTACGATACCGTGTTTCCAATTTAAAAAAATGCTAAATTGATTTTCAAACAAAAAATTATTTTTTAGGTCCTACATAACCACACTTTTAAATTTTTTGGGACACTTAAAATAAAAAAGTTAAAGGGGGGCGACATTATAGGGGATCACCCTGTACGTGTCGTGACGTGTTTAAAAAGTTTTATCGTTGCAAAATTTACAAAAAATGCGATGTTGTCGGATGTACGATTAGCATGGTTGCCAAATTTACAAATGCGATGTTGCCAGATTTACAAACTGCTGGGTTGCCAAATTTACAAAAAATGCTAAATTGAAAAGTTTTATTGTTAAATGTTGCAAAATTTACAAAAAAAGCGATTTTGTGCAGTGTTGCCAAATTTACGAATGCGATGTTGCATTTTTATAAACATATATTTTTTATAATGTATCAATATAAGAATTTGTTGTGATTGATTTGACTTTTGGTTGCGAAATACTGCTGGAATTTATGACAAGTAAATATAAACACGGACTTATAATTTATTACGATCCGCGGGCTATGATTTATGATATCTAACAGATAAGTATTAAGTTAGACAAGTTATATTAATTGCTGGGAGTTTTACATAACAAATGAAAAACGTTTGGGTGACTTATTGAGACGTTTTGGCTTTGTGTTTTTGGGTCGTTTGTCACGCTGTGCGTTTCGTAAGATTGTTAATATTTAATCAAGTTTTTACTTTTGTGTCAGCCAAACTATTTTTGATAATGGCCGTTTGAAATCGAGCAATAATTTTATTGGGGGCATATAGACGTCTATACAACACCGCGAAAATATTAAACTCAGACTTAACGACTCTCCAGACTCCAAAGTAAGAAAGAGAAACATTTTTCATGACAAGACATTTGTTGGTAACAGCGCCGACCTCTAAAAAAACAATGATACAGTTTGACCTGGAACGTGACTCTTTTATCAGGGTGTCCATCAAAATTTCAAGTGACTCAATGCATGTAAACCGCGTAATGACGTGTTCGGTCTTTTATGAGCCTTCGCGAAGCCAAGAAAGGGAGGCAAAGGGAGAAGGCGTCCATGTGAGAGCGTACGTATAGACACAATGCCCGAGAGTCCGATAACATCGGAATCATAGCTGGCCGAGGCGTGATCCGCCGCGACATGACAAATTCGAGTGCCCTTGTTTTGTTTTTCATATACCTACGCTTCGCTACACCTGCCCCATCGACCAAACAACATGCAAACAGAAAATATTTCAGTCTTAAAGTCTCTTGAGAAAAATTGACTTTTTGTATTACCCTTTGAGTCAAATTTTCTGAAAATTTCCCATTTTTTTTTGTTTATAAAACCCTAGTTGAAAAATTTAAAACGGTTAAAATATTTGCACAAGAAGGATGTTAAAAAGCAGAACAATATTGCCTAAAACTCATGACAATTGTTATATTTGATTTAAGAATATGTTTTAAACTTTAAGCCCTACTAAATTATGAACACAAACAAAACATAACACTTGACATTTTTAAGACACTTTTATATAAATGAGTGAATGAAGTATATTTATTATATTATCTATGTTCTCATAACAAACTACTGTTTAATTTTCTCCAAAACTATATAAAGAAAATGAGGTCAAAAGTTGCCCAACTTTTGTAGAATCACCCAAATATATTTGCAGATAAAACTTACAAATGTAAATTTCAACTAGATATAACTGTTTTAAGAAATGTAACTTGTATTTTGTACAAAACTTCATTTAAAAATAGTTTCGTAATACAAAAATGTAATTCAAATACAGCCTCAATAAAATTGTATTAAAACTTTCTAAAGTCCGTTATTTTTTCAGCTAACAAATACCTACAAACATTAAATGAAACAGACAATCGACTGAACGTCCGTACCGTGTAAATTTAATGTAATAAACCACTCGTGTTGTAATATTGTTTATTGTCAGCAGTAACATCGTTTTGCAACGAAATTATGCATGACGCGTCCATTAGAAATGATTACTGTATGTTCAGAACAAAAAGCCTTTTTAACGTTTAACATTTAACACCAAGAAGGCCATAAATGACGTTTATTATTAAGCGTCATTTGTGCACCATACATGTATAACAAAACGATATTTAAATGCAACGAAACAGATTTAGAAGTTCCATTTAATACAATTTATAAATGCTTTTATAAAAAAGAAGAAAAAACATCTATCAATATGCATACGCGGTGTTGCCAAATGTTAATAAAAACTATTGCGCGGTTGCCAAATTTACAAAAATGCGATGTTGCCAGATTTACAAACTGCTGGGTTGCCAAATTTACGAAAAATGCGACGTTGTCAGATTTACGATTTACAGTGTTGTCAATTTAAAAAAATACTACCTATATAATTTTTTTATGTGTTGACGAATGATATTCATAAATTCCAAAGACTCGTAACCGCATTATGGTCAAAAATCCTTCGAACACTAATTAAAACTTTTTTATCGATCGCACTGTACGTGCTCGAAAAGTTTTATTGTTAAAATCGGCGTTATTAATCCGGGTTTGTTTTGAACTAAAGCTACGTGTGATTATTACACAAAATATTTCTTTGTTGAGAAATATAAAAGTTTTATTTGTGACACATACATTTTTTGTTTTTATCGCCGCAGCTATAAACATTAATTTTTATATTATGGTTTGTTTTGTACAAATGTAATGCTACAAAGTCTTGAGGTAAAATTGTACATAATCGTAAAATATTAATTGAAAAATATAAAAAAACAAAGTACATTTACTTAATTTTCTATGCTAATGTCATGAGAAATCTTAAATAGCAATATTTTAAAAGACATATGGGTTAATATATTGAGATGTCTTCACGGAGGTTAGGATTTCGTATGTTTTTTTAAAACATCCCTTTGCATATTTAAAATAAGTTATTGTATCTTTTGACACCTTAATATTTTTTAAAAATACAATTGTACATACATAAAATATTTATAAAAAAAAATCTACTTACTGAGATATTACACTTCACGGTGGATAGGTTTTTAAATAGCAAATTAATGAACTTAAACTCTTGAATTATAAAACAGCAACACTCTCATCTGCATATAAATTCTAACTGAACTTCAGGAAACACATGCATCTATAATGTCGTAAACAGAGGTTTTTGCTTATTTAAAATGATTAAAGCGCCATCCGTTGCATAAAATTTAAAGCAAAAACAGATTCACGGAGGATAGAATCAATTTTTGTAACACCTACATAAATGTTTATAAAAATTGTTTTTTTTAATTTTTTTTAAATATTTTATTTTTGATTCGATTGCTTTGGATGTGTTTAATTTACTTAGTGAACTGATATTTTTATATATGCCTTTACTACCTAGATATTTGAAAACATTTAGGTTAAAAATAGGAAAATCCATAAGAAAAATGATTAACAATTTTTTTAATGTCACATTTTTTGATAAATCCAAGTCGATATACAGGGCATTTTTATTATTGGGTACCCAATAAATCGATTAAAAAAAAACTAAGCAGTAGAAATATGATAAGTTTTAATGTATGCATCCGCCGGCTTATGTTGAGCTTGTAAACACAAGGACATAAATAAAGTTTAAATTGAATAGAAGTTGAGAACAGTTAAGTTACGTTTGCCGATTAAAAAACTCGGTGGTTTATACGAGTGTCTATAAGGTAAAACAAGTTGCATACGTAATTTTTCCTATTGAATGATATACTTCGACGTGAGCGCCTGTACCACTGTACATGTGCACAGTGCCGGGTCTAGGGGCAAGGTCAGGCAATCGAAAAAAAAGATTATCAAGAAATGAAAATACTTATACTTAATAATACTTATTTGAAGGATATAGGGAGTTGAATGCAAGAACTAACCTATACTTATTTGGATATAATTCCAATTTTAGGTTCAAGGGTAAACTTATTCTTATTTCAAGCAAAACTATCAGAATAAGTATT